TATGGCATAAAGAGGCCAAGTGAAAGGCGAAAGGTCAGAAACAATATGAAGACTTCAAGTCAATGTAAAAAATATATCCAATGTCATCAACAGTTGTTAAGTATATTCTCCAAAAAGTCCTTGAGTCCTAAGAAACCAGAAACCACCAGAAACATATGGGTAGCCTGGTCTCCAAGTCATGCCTGATCTCCTCCCTGTCAACTGTACAAGCCATTCTGTTTTTTTTTTTTTGAGACAGGGTCTTCCTCTGTTGCCCAGGCTGGAGTGCAATGGCACAATCTTGGCTCACTGCAACCTCCGCCTCCCGGGTTCAAGCAATTCTCCTGCCTCAGCCTCCCAGGTAACTGGGATTACAGGTGTGCACCACCATGTCCAGCTATTTTTGCATTTTTAGTAGAGATGGGGTTTCACCATGTTGGCCAGGCTGATCTCAAACTCCTGACCTCAAGTGATCCACCTGTCTCAGCCTCCCAAAGTGCTGGGATTACAGGTGTGAGCTACCATGCCTGGCCATCAAACCATTCTTGTGTCAAGAATGTATATTCAAAATAGTAAATGCTAAAGGATGCAACAAAGGAGCTGAAAGCTGCTGTCACAATACCACATTTACAAGGAAACTTTTGATTTATCATATTTAAGGTATCATTTTTAAACATTCTATGTTAAAGTCATCCAGGTAATATGATAACAGCTTACAGAGGGGTCAGGCTTCTAACTATACATAAAACTAGAAATCCAAACCCAAAAGGTGCTAGACACTCTTCAAAGTTAGCATAGGACTCAATATTCAGCACTCTGCATTAGTAAGTTTAAAGAAACTGAACACCAGCTTAGGCCAAGAGAATGATACAGAAAAAGAATTCATTGACAATAAAAGCAGAAACCATTCAGTGTTAATAGGTTTAATATCCTTTCCGATATTAATGCAGAACATGAGACAATGATATTCTGCTGACAAGGCAGAAAATTGAACTAAGTAGATTGACATTTACTTCAAGAGGCTACGAGCTTAAATTTAGGATAGAGACAAAGGAATACATAACTGATCAAGAATCTTAATTTCTGAATGACTGCCAGGCTTAGAAGTAACCGAAACATTACAGCTTCCTTTAAAAATATTTTTTCATAATCTAGAAGGATAATATAAAAGGCAACATAATAACCTGTTATTTGTTGGTTACTTTTTTTTTTTTTTTTTTTAATTTCTAAATTTTTTGTAGAAACAGGGTTTCACTATGTTGCCCACACTGGTCTCCAACTCCTGGCCTGAAGATCCTCCTGCATCAGGCTACCAAAGTGCTGGGATTACAGGCATGAACCACTGTGCCTGGCTTATTAGTTTTGCTAGACTATCTAGTTTTAAGCTGTGGCTCTTTTTATGTGCAACTTTTAATATGCTTTCTTCTTTCTAAAATTAATTTTTAAACTATATTCTCCTTGCAAAATTAGTTACCAATATTGTTAAAGGCCTATTTGACACCCTTTCAACTTCATTGCCTTTGTCCACCTCTCTAGTGGTAATCTCTATTAAATATTTGGTGCTTACTCTTTCAAATATTTTTCTGTGCATATCTATGAACCTTGAAGGGGAAAAATGTAGTATAGTTGTATATGGACTTAAAAAATACAAAAGGTTTCATACTGGATGTATTTTTAGCCATTTTGTTTTGTTTTCCTGCAACAATGTATTTTGGAGATGGTACAACATTAATACACATAGAACTACTTCCGTTTTTCATACTATGCACAAAATGTCATAGTTTATCTAAACCATGTTTAGTTACTCTCCTTTGAACGATATTTAAGTTGTTCATATAATTATAAACAATGCTACAAAAAGCATTCCCTATACATACCCCATTATGCATGTATATGAGTTTTTTTTCTTGAGGGTAGATTTTGAAAAGTGAAATGCACAATTTGAATATTAATAGACAGTACTAATTTACTTCCAAAGTATTTCCACCAATTTATGAACCCACCAGCAGAATATCAAAATACTTGCTTACTCATGACCTCACCAACTCTTGAAATTATCAATCTTGTTCTATTTTATCAGTCTGATGGATTGGTTTTTTATTTTTTGATTGTATTTCCTCAGATACTAACAGAATAAATACATTCTCATATGCTGACACCTTCCTCTTTTGTTGCTCACTGATTTCTATTCTTTACCTACTTTGCAACTAGGCAGCTTGTCCTTTTTGTTTGTTTCAAACGAAATTTATTCTATCGGTCTTTTGTTATGTATAGTTCAAATATTTTTTTCTCAGCCTTTTAGCTGAATATGTAATGTTTTATTGTAAGAGAATTTATTTTTTAATAGAAACAAATGTATCTTTTTTCCCTTATGACTTCCACTTTTCATGTCATCCTTAGTACTATAACCCACAACTATAAGATATTTTTTATATTTATTTCTAATGCATTTATAGTCTGAATTATATCTGAACCTTCAAAACCACCATGAATTTATTTTTGTAAGGTACAGTTCTGTTCTTGTTTTTCAGATATAAACAGGCAAATGTTTAACTTCTCTGAACCCCAATTTCCCTACCTTTAAAATGAGGGTAATAATATCTACCTCATGAATGCTTTAAGATTTTTAAAAATTATGTTCTTAAATTGCCTAGCACAGTCCTTGACATATAATAAATGTTTACATTTGTTAGTTGTATCTGAAAATAGTTAATACATATTTAATAGTTATATTGAGCATATATGAATAAATTAACAACATATTTAATACTTAAAATACTTAACAAAAACAGAACCAAGCAGTATAGATCATAAAAACTACCGGTCGGGTCAGGCGTGGTGGCTCACACCTGTAATTCCAGCACTTTGGGAGGCCAAGGCAGACGAATCACGAGGTCAAGAGATCGAGACTATCCTGGCCAACATGGTGAAACCCTGTCTTTACTAAAAATACAAAAATCAGCCAGGCATGGTGGTGGGTGCCTATAGTCCCAGCTACTTGGGAGGCTGAGGCAGGAAAATCACTTGAACCCAAGAAACAGAGGTTGCAGAGAGCCAAGATGGCACCACTGTACTCCAGCCTGGCAACAGAGAGAGACTCTCTCAAAAAAACAAAAACCAAACGAACAAACAAACAAACAAAAAAGCTACCAGTCAGTCCACACTGGAAATTCTGTTCATATAACAAGCAGTAGGTTAGGTCAGGTGTGGTGGCTTATGCCTATAATCCCAATACTTCGGGAAATTGAGGTGGGAGGATCACTTGAAGCCAGGAGTTCAAGAACAGCCTGGGCAACATAGTGAGACTCCATCTCTACCAAAAAAAAAAAATTTAATTAGCTGGGTGTGGCGGCACATGTCTGCAGTTACCCAGGCGGCCAAGGCAGGAGGATCACTTGAGCACAGAAGTTCAAAGTTGCAGCGAGCTACGATCATGCCATTATATTCCAGCTGTGGCAACGGAGTGAGACCCCAACTCAAAATCAACAGCAACCTGCCCCCGACCCCAGGGGCTTGGCCGTGTGTGGAAACCACAGCTACAAGACATATTGATCATTCTTGGGAGTATGGAAGGTACAGAATGGTTTTCATATTTATTGAGCACTTACTATATGTCAGGAAGTATTTTAAGCACTACATAGGTTTTCTCTAGTGACCCCTCAAGGTAACTCTGCGAGTTAGGTACTTACGTCACCATTTTAAAAATGAGAAAATTGAGGCACAAAAAGGCTAAGTAACTTTTGCAAGGTTCCATGGTGAGTTGGCAGTAGAATCAGAACATGAACCCAAGCAGTCAGTTTCAAAAGCAGTACTTCTGGTCACAGGCTAACCTGCCTTAGTAAAATCCCAAAAAGATTAAATCTCAAGAAGCAGGTATTATTCCTCCAAACAACAGACTCCAGGCTCAGAGAAGAAAAGTAATTTGTTGAAGGTCAGGACATGGAGCAAAATCGGTCAGACCTTAATGACCACAGTCATGCCACCCCTCCACAGCAGCTCCGGCGGGAGGATCTCTGACTGTGGAGTAGTCAATGCCAAAATGCCTTGTCACATGAACAGCGAACATTTACTGGGTGCCTACTGCCAGCCAGACACTCTGCTAGGAACAAAGGCTATGGAAATAAACAAAACACAATTGCTGCCTCCAGGTGTACACAATATATTGTAAAATCACAGAAGAAAGGAACCTAAGTCAGTTGAGGACAAAATGGGGCAGGGCTGGTGAGAGACTTCTTCTAAAAGGAAGTGATCTGGGGTTATTTAAGTGAGCAGAGCAGACAGAGAGAGGTGACATTGAGCACACAGAAAAGTAGGGGGCATAGAAGAACATACACTATAAACTGCCACTGGGTTCCATATGACATAATAATTCTCAATTTCCGCTGAATACAATTTTCACAGGAAAAGGTTCCCTCTGGAATAGTGAAAACAGAACAAAACAGATGAACACAGAGAATTGTTTCACTCAGCTTAGATGAAAACTTCGGCAACACAAAAGGTCATCTGTAACTTGTTCTCAGTTAACCCTCAAATATCAATAGTGGGACACAGTGGGTCCTCATAATATTCCTTACAACAGACACATGATAAAGACGTGGTAATAACTCATTCTACCTGAAGTACAGCAGAAAAATTCAAGATATGGCAAAACCAAAGGAATTTCTATTACACTCACTTTTGTTAAGAACAGTATTCGATTTGTAATTATAGATTCACAGAACTGGACAGAATCGTAAAGACTGTCTAGTTCAATTCTCTCACTTGAAGATGGACTGAAACCAAGAGATACTATTACCTATTCCAAGTGACAGGGTTTCTGTTCAAAGCGACATGGTGACAAAGCAGAACCTAACCATTTGTCTTCAAGGAAGCTACAATGAAGGAACCTTTTAAAAATCCATTGTATTTGAAGACTAACAATAATCACATGTGACTTAGCATAGGGCTAAAATAACACAATGCTCCTTTAAAGGCAGAATTTTCCATATTGCCAAAGACTCCCTGTGTAGAAGCATACTTACTTCATCAGTCTTTCGATGGTCTGCACGTGAACGTTACTATGGGTCTGGGAAAGAACAGCTTCATGCTGAGCACATTTCAAACAAAGACCAGCAACCCGGTTAGAAGTATTAGCAGCCAGAAGAAACTCTTTATGCTTTAGTTGCTCTTTAAGATCTTCACAAGTTCTCTGATATTCAGCTAAGTCTTTCCTAAAAAGAGGGGGAAAAAATTCTAGAAAATGGCCAGGTAAAATTACATGACTTTAAAATGAATCATCATAATGTTAACTACTACTATCATTTCTGGGCATTCACCTGATGCTTTAATTTACATCCAATACCTTATTAATTTTTACCATGACCCTGAAACTTTTGGTGTGGTGATCGTAATTGACACGTTGAATATGATGAGACTTGAATATATTAAATAATTAGCTCAAGTTCTTGTAAGATTTTAATATTAGATTAGAGTCTGCCCAATACTGGCTCTCTTGTTCCAGAATCCAACCTCCATTAATGCTATATTAACCACAAAACAAAAATAAAACTCCAAATATAAATCCCAAATAGTTTTTCTTAAAAAAGAGGTGGGGTAATATAAGACAACATACTTGAGGTGACGAAAATAACCTCTTTCAAGCATTAACCTCTTAAAATTTTTAGAGTACCTTAAAACTTCACATAAAAAAACATGGATTTTTATCCTTGACTAGTTTATTACTGCCCATTTTTCTTCAGGAGGAAAACATTAGATAGATAATTATCTAACAGCAAACTTCTACAAAGATCTGTTTCAAAAGAAAGTAAGTTATAGAAGGAAGTTACATAGAACTTGCCAGTCATAAGATTTCAGGGGTAGTAGCTATTAGCTGGAAACACCGGCTGCTAAAGAAAGGGCTGGGGGTGGCGGGAGCTGTGAGTGTGGGTGTGGGCGCAGTTTTTGTTTGTTTTTATTTTATCAGCTCACCTCTGGATGAAGTTTTCTTCAAGGTGACTTTTTAAGGATTAAATGACTGGTGCATGGGTTGTAAAGTTGCGCTAAAGTCAACTTGGCGACTGAGCTTCCTTGCCTAGATGACTCTTTTGTACCATTGTTGTTGTTGTTTTTATTATTTTTATTTAAAAAAAAAAAAAAACTTTCGAGCTGAAAAATGAGACTACTGAAGGCAGGAACTTTATCTCCATCTCTGTCTACTCCCTACTGTCATTGTCAGAGTCTCCATGCTCAGGGGCTATGGCCATCATAACTGGTTCCCTGTCACAGAGAAGAAGTCAACAGCCTGGCTGTCTGACAACTGTTGAGATTTTGGGGGTTGTCAAGCAACCCAGGAGAGGCAGAAAAGACCCACAGGCAATCTAAGGGTTAAAAAAAAAAAGCTAATCTAATGGCATTCCAAAGTTGAGGGGAAAAAAGGAGCCACTTCTACCCTATCCCCAAAATAATAACACCAACGTGGTAAGTTTTCTTTTTCAATACCACGTAGAGAATGTCTGACTTTCAAAGGCTTTATAAAAAGAACTTGGGAAGCACATTCCAAAGTCGAAGGGTCCCCATTACTAATTTCGGTCAGGTCCAAACTCAAAACACTCAAGTAGCTTTGGTTACCGGCAATGGCAAAAGAGAAAGTTGAAAAGAAGACTGATTTTATTTAAGAAAATGCCTCTTTAAAGAATCTTAAATTATAGTAAAAGAAAATGAAGAAACAGAAGGATTCAGAGAACAAAGTCTAGTTCATTGCAAGTTGGTATTGTAATGTAATTAAAGATGAAATATCTGGATTCTGAATGAGACAAAGTAAGTCACATTCCCCTAAGTACAATGATCTAGAAACACATCACTTTAAAAACTGAAGAATCAAGTCATAAAAAAAATCAAAATAAAATCAAGTAGGTCAAAAAGCAAGAAAGCAAAAATTAGACTAATTTTTAAATGTTATGTTTCTTTGTAAAAACAAAAAGTCAAAATCTCCAGAGAAATCCTAAAACTAATCAGGGTAATCTATGAAAAACATAAGAACATTTAAAAAATAAACAAGCATGTTCAATGAAAGCTATGAGTTCTGGCTTTTTTTTTTTTTTTTTTTTTTTTTAAGATGGAGTCTCCCACTGTTACCCAGGCTGGAGTGCAGTGGCGTGGTCTTAGCTGACTGCAACCTCCACCTCCTGGGTTCATGTGATCCTGCCTCAGCCTGCTGAGTAGCTGGGACTACAGGTGTGTGCCACCACACCCAGCTAATTTTTATATTTTTAGTAGAGACAGGGTTTCACCATGTCGGCCAGGCTGGTCTCGAACTCTTGACCTCAAATGATCCACTCGCCTTGGCTTCCCAAAGTGCTGGGATTACATGCATGAGCCACTGCAACCGGCTGAGTTCTGGCTCTTAGTATTACTCTAGTTATGTCTCTAGATAGGATATGGCATGGAAGATTTTAAAATTTATTTCAAATTGGACTTATTAAAATAAAATGATAAACAGTATTTGAAAGTTTATTTGATTTAAAAATACTTCATTACTACTATTTAAAAATAATCTTTAACAACAAAAACATTAATTCCTGCTGTCTTTTTCTACTCATTATATGTAAATCACTAATGGTTAATCTATAATATATAGGTCTTACTGGGATCTCTAATAAATAGATTCTATAAAAACTATGTGAAGATTCATCATATACACTCAAATTCATCACGCATACAAATACTCAAACTATTATATTATCATTACAATTTTAAAATTAGATGAAGACTATCTACAGAGAAAAATACTAATAATTTGAAAACTAAAGTGCTTTATTTTCATTATTATTTTACTTGAATATCATAATTTCTATAAGAGCAGTTAGTGAGTTAGTGATTCTTTTTTTTTTTTTTGATACAGAGTCTCACTGTGTCACCAGGCTGGAATGCAGTGGTACGGTCTCAGCTCACTGCAACCTCCTGGTTCAAGTGATCCTGGGTTTAAGCAATTCTCCTGCCTCAGCCTCCCAGGTAGCTGGGACTACAGGTGTGTGCCACCACGCCCAGATAATTTTTGTATTTTTAGTAGAGACAAGGTTTCACCATGTTAGCCAGGATGGTCTCAATCTCTTGACCTCGTGATTTGTCTGCCTCGGCCTCCCAAAGTGCTGGGATTACAGGCGTGAGCCACCACGCCCAGCCACAATTCTTATTTTTATGAGAAAACACAAGTATTTTACAACTGATGAAGAAATAGGAATGTGATTTGAAAAATAACCCAATTTTAGGCCATTTTATCCTTTAATAATCTGAGGAAAGTTTTTAAATTATATATAAAATGTCAGCAAGTAAGTTTGATAATGACTAAAACTAGAAGTTCAGCAAACATTCAAATATATTTTAAGATCATTATGCTTTTGGTATGACTATAAATGGATGATTTCACTTTACCTCAAAAACTTCAGTTGGGATTCCTGAATTTCGTACTTTTCCTCATAAGAAAGTTTTAGCTTCTCCTATAGAAAAGAAAAATAAAAGTACATTTTTCTCCATGTCCTGTGTTTTATAAGTAAAATTTAATTTTTTTTTTTTTTGAGATGGAGTTTCACTCTGTTGCTCAGGCTGGAGTGCAGTGGTGCAATCTCGGCTCACTGCAAGCTCCGCCTCCTGGGTTCATGACATTCTCCTGCCTCAGCCTCCCCAGTAGCTGGGACTACAGGCGCCCGCCACCATGCCCGGCTAATTCTTTTGTATCTTTAGTAGAGACAGAGTTTCACCGTGTTAGCCAGGATGGCCTCGATCTCCTGACCTCATGATCTGCCAGCCTCGGCCTCCCAAAGTGCTGGGATTACAGGTATGAGCCACTGCGCCCACCCATAAACTTTAATTTTTAATATTAAGTTCAATTTTTTATTTTTACCCAAGGTGGGGGAAACATGTCTTCCTAGAAAATATTTTCCTAGTCCACCCCAAATTTTCTATTTTTTTGTGTGAATGCCTGCAAAGAACTGCTGAGTCATAAAATTGATTTTCTTTTTCTTTCAAAATTGCATATATCAGGTCTTATCCCTAAAAATGTGACTCTGGGGAAAAAACAGTTGTAACCCATAAGGTCCATTAGGGCAAAGATCAGATCTTATTAGAATCCTTCATTATGGCTGTTGAATATTTGACATACAATAAATATGTGCTAGATGAATGATCAAAAGTAAAGTTTTAAATCACATGATAGACTAACTCCTACAAGCCTCTGTTGGTATCCAGTTATTCTTTCATTCAACAAATATTTATTGTGTATCTAAGATGACGGTGGCTTGAACTTCAAGGACCTTATAAAATATCCCAGAAAGGAATAGAAAAATGAAGAATTTCAATTACAGCTGACCCTTAAATAACATGGAGGTTAGGGGCATTGACCCCTGTACAGTTGGAAATCCATGTATAATTTCTTTTTTCTTTTTCTTTTTTTTTTTTGAGACACAGTCTCACTCTGTCGCCAAGGCTGGAGTGCAGTGGCATAATCTCGGCTCACTGCAACCTCCACATGCTGGATTGAAGCTATTCTTGTGCCTCAGCCACGCAAGTAGCTGGGATAACAGGTGTATGCCACCATGCCTGGCTAATTTTTGTATTTTTAGTAGAGATGGGGTTTCACCATGTTGGCCAGGCTGGTCTCAAACTCCTGGGCTCAAGTGATCTGCCCGCCTCAGCTTCCCAAAGTGCTGGGGTTACAGGCATGAGACCCTGAGCCTGGCCCCATGTATAACTTTGACTCCCCCAAAACTTAATCACTAATAGCCTACTATTGACTAGAAGACTTACCAATAATATAAACAACACATATTTTGTATGCTATGTGTATTATATACTGTATTATTACAAGAAAGTAATCTAGAGAAAAGATAATGTTATTAGGAAAATCAGAAGGCAAAGAAAGTGGTATTTTCTTCATTAAGTGGAAGTGGATCATCATAAAGGCCTTCACCCTACCATCTTCACAGAGTAGGCCGAGTTGGAGGAGGAAAAGGACGGGGTGGTCTTGTCTTCTCGGGGATGGAGGAGTTGGGAGGGAAGGCAGGAGAGGCAGGTGAATTTAATTTTATGGAAACACGTGGTCATTTCTGTCTCACTTTGTTATGCTCTTTCTTTTTCTCCAAAATTGTTTCTACACAATATCGACCCTTCTTCCATTTGCTTTAGTTCCAGTGCCTATATCATAGAAGGGTCCATGTCATAAAAGAAGTCAAAAGCAGTCTTGAATAATCAGAACCCTTCTGCCAGATTATCTCATGTTAATTTGCTTTCTGGCACTGCTTCTTCTATGTCTTCTTCCTCATTTCCTGGCACTAGTTCAGAAGCACTCATCTCCATCAAGTCATCTTCTGTTAATTCCTTTGTGTGGTGTCTATTAGCTCTCGAATTTCTCCAAGATCCCTATCTTGAAACCCTTCACTCCCAACCTTTTCCACCACATCCACAATCTCTTTCATGATTTCCTTGACTGACTGCTATAAATCTTGTAAAGTCATGCAGCACATTTGGACAAAGTTTTCTCCAGCAGGAATTCATTGTTATGGGTTTGATGACTTTCATGGCTTTTTCTATAACAATGATGGCATTTTCAATGCTGTAATCCTCTCACACTTTCATGATGTTCTTGCTACTGGGGTTCCCTTCCACTGCGCTGAAAATCCTTTCCATAGAGTATCCATGTGTAATGAGTCTTAAAGATCCTTATGACTCCCTGGATCTTGAGGCTGAATTAGAGACACCATGTTTGCAAGCAAGAAGACGACTTTGATGCCTTTAGTGTTGAACTCATGGGGTTCTGGGTGGCCAGAGTCATTGTGCAATATCAAGAAACTTTAAAAGGCAGTCTCTTACTGGCAAGGTACTTTCTAACTTCAGGAACAAAGTATCAATGGAACCAGTGTAGAAAAAGGTTTCTCATTGTCCAGCCTTCCTGTGGCACAACCAAAAGACTAACAGTTGGTGTTTATCTTTTCCCTTCAAGTCTCATGAGTTAGGAGCTCTGTAGATAAGGGCAGTCCTGATCATAAACCTGAGTACATTTTACAAAACAATAGAGTTAGCTTATCCCTTCCTGCATCAAATCCTGGTGCTCACTTCTCTTCCACACTAATAAAAGTCCTTTGTGACATTTCCCCCCCCAGAATAGAGCACTTACATCTGCATTAAAAACCTATTCAGGTAGATATCATTTCTCCTAAATAATTTTCTTCCTTTTTTTTTTTTGAGACAGAGTCTCACTCTGTCACCCAAGCTCGAATGCATTGGTGTGATCTTGGCTCACTGCAACCTCCACCTCCTGGGTTCAAGTGATTCTCGTGCCTCAGCCTCCTGAGTAGCTGGGATTACAGGCACATGATACCATGCCTAGCTAATTTTTGTATTTTCAGTAGGGACAGGGTTTCTCCATGTTGGCCAGGCTGGTCTTGAACTCCTGACCTCAGGTGATCCGCCCACCTCAGCCTCCCAAAGTGCTGGAATTACAAGTGTGAGCCACCACACCCAGCCTCTCCTAAATAATTTTCATCATGGCATCTTGAAACTTGTCTGCTGCCTCTTGGTCAATAGAAGCTGCTTCTCTTGTTATCCTGACATTTTTAAAGCCAAATCTCTTTCTAAAATTATCAAACCATCCTTTGCTGGTGTTAAATTCTCCAGCTTTACATCCTTTACTTTCCTTATTTTTTTAAGTTGTCATAAAATGACTTCTTTTTTCTTCTCAAATTATATTAGAGTCTACAGGTACGCTTTTCTTTAGAAATCCTGTACCCACATAAAACTTGCATTTTCCATGACAGATAAAAAGGCATTGGGCAAAAGTATAAAGTTTTTGTGCGTGTTGGCATGGCTACAGTGATGGTTTCACAAATTTTCTTTTCTTTTTGTACAATGGTCCTCATATTGGATTAGTTTATCTAGAAATGGGGCAACCACAGCTGCTGACTTCAATCTATGGAACGTATCAAGCAATGTAACTTTTTCCTGTAATGTCATGACATTGCTTCTTGGGAGTGCTTCCAGCATCACTAGTGGCACTTTGCATGGGCCTCATGGTGTTATTCAAGGTTTACAGTATCACACTAAACATGATGAAAACTACACGAGAACCGCCAAGAGATCACTTTTTACTGTAATATGCAATTTACTGAAGAGACAAACTGTTTACACAGAGATAACTAGTGTCACATGGTATTTTAAGCAGATAATTGAAATACCTGAACTCACCACAATAGCAATAGGAGATGGTGATGAAATTATTATAGTAGCACAGTATGTGCTACATTTAACTTTATGCTGTTATAATTTAATACTGCATCTTTATGGTTTTTTTGCATTCCTCCTGACTGAGAATGACTCCATGTACAGTCTGTAAGTGATAGTGTTCATAGGTTTTGATAAATTTTAACTTTCTATAATAGATTTGTGTATATTTTATGGTAGTAGATGATAAAATAGACTATTAGCTACATATATTTTATTCATTTATGACATACCTCTTTCTTAATTTTTTCATATTTCTAGGCTACATGGTTCATCTGCAAGTTTTTTCAAACTGCCACAAATCTCAAAAAAATTTCTGATATATTTCTTCAAAAAAATACACATATAAGTGAACCCACACAATACAAACCCATATTATTCAAGGGTCAACTGTTCATAAATTGCTCTAGTGAAGTATATGGAAATTGAAAAATTTAGAGAGGCAGGAACTCCTAATTCAGTGAAAGAGAAGTAAAGAAGGCCTCACAGAGGAAATGTTAAGTCTTGAAGGATAATTTCCAGTAGAGCAGAAGGCACAGAGGCTGAAGGAACCATGCTATATGTTTGAACAGTAAGTAGATCAGTATCACTAGAATGTAAAATGCGAGGTGGAGGGGAGGTTGGAGATGGGTAAAGTAGGTAAAGGTGGGCCACAAGAAGAATAAAAATATCAAGACTTTTATTTGGTACACATGTCTCCTGTACTTTCCCCCTAGAAGAAACACTGGAGGGCCACTGAAAACTTTTTATCAGAATTGAGTCTTAAATCATAATTGAAGTGTGAAGAAAGGGAAACCAGGAATTACAAATACATAGGTAAGAGATAAGCACATGCACAAAAGCAATCAAGCAGTAGGAATTAAAAAGAAAGGATTTAGTACAGAGATATTTAAGAGAAAAACTGACAGAATTTTATGACAGAATAGATATAGAGGAGAAAAATACACCAAAAACAATCCTGGGTTTCTGAAGTGAGCAATCAAGTGAATACTGGTACTAAAGATTTTTTTTCAGACCAACAAAAAAAGCAAAAGGGAATCATAAAAAATAATTCATGGCTGGGCACAGTGGCTCACGCCTGTAATCCCAGCACTTTGGCAGGCCAAGGTGGGTGGATCACGAGGTCAGGGGTTCAAGACCAGCCTGGCCAACACAGTGAAACCCCGTCTCTACTAAATAAAAATAAAAATTAGCTGGGTGTGGTGGCAAGTGCCTGTAGTCCCAG